AGGGAGTGTAACATAGTAAAAATATTTTAAATTTTTAAGGGAAAATTTGGTAATTCAAACCCCATGTTTAAGCTGAGGTGTGTGCCAAAAGAAACCCGCAGGCCTCTGCCTCTGACTCTAGTGAGCTTAATGTAGTTTGGGGTAAAGTCTTGGCAGCAAAATTACCCCCTAAGATGAGACAATTTGCTTGGAAGGCTCTTTGCAATGGGGTTCCTGTCAGACACAATTTAAAAAGAAGGGGTTGTGACATTGATGAGTTTTGCCCTGCTTGTGGAGAGAGGGTGGAAACGCTGCTTCATGCTCTGATATACTGTCCTGTTGCTGCTGAAGTCTGGTATTTCTCGCCTCTCAGATTGAAGGTTAGTGATTTTTCTGGGCAGCCTTTTCTGTTTTGGTGCTTTGCTCTGGGAAAAATATACAAGGAAAAGCAATGGTGGGATATGTTTTGGAGTATCTTGTGGGGAATTTGGTTGAAGAGAAATGCTTGGTGTTTTGAGAAACGAATTGTTCACGTTGAGACTGTTATTAACAGAGCTATCATTATTGGTGAATACGAGAAAGCGAATGATCCTCGCCCTTTGAGTTCGAATGAAGTACAGCATGTTAATCAGGTGTGGCTTCCACCTGAGACAGGTTTGTAAAAGTTAAATATTGATGCTGCTTGTTTCAAGGCTAGTGGTGCGGGTTTTGGGGGTGTCGTGAGGGACTGTGAAGGTGATGTTATGGTTTCTATCTGTCACAAGGTAGGGGGGAAGTTATGCGGCTGATATTGCAGAAGCTTTGGCTGCTAGAGCTTGCCTCAAAATTACTCTTGAAGCTGGCATTGATAAGATTATTCTGGAGTCTGATTGCTTGAAGCTGGTTCAGCATCTCAAGAACAACCAATGCGAGAATTCCTCCTTTGGCTTAATTGTAAATGACATTTGCTGTCTCGCCATGTTTTGCTCTTCAATTTCTTTCTCTCATGTAGGTAGAAAAGGGAATTGGGTTGCCCATTGTCTAGCCCATGGTAGTAAAGAGTTTGAGGGGTTGAGGGTCTGGATCGAAGAGACCCCTGCCTTTTGCTTGTAATGCTGTTTTGCTCGACTCTTTAAGCAACTTATATTATGGCTACTGCTTTTGTTATAAAAAAAAAAAAAAAAAAAAAAAAAAAAAAAAAAAAAGTTAATTTCTCCTAGTAATCCCTATTTTCATTTATTTTCCTATACAATCCCAAGTGCAGGATGTATCTTTCGCAATTGGTCGGTTGGTCCACGTAACTTGTAAACTTACAACTTATTGAAACGGTTAAAAAACCTTCTTCTTCCTCATTGCCCCCACCAAACACCAAAACCTAGCCCTACTATCCTTCCCAGAATCCTTCACCATGAACCCAACCTTCCCTGTTTCCACCAACCACTCTCTAATCTTTCCTTAACTGCCGACCACCACTGTCACCATTACATGGGCTTTCCAGCCACAATGAAATTCCCCCCTCCCGTTTTGAACTAGAACCCCGGCCAAACACTATAATCACCTCCCCTTTTCCTCACCTTTACCATAAAATACTATCCACAACCAATTCATGCACCCTCAATTTCTTTTTCTCTAGCTTTAGCAATTGTTGCCCTCTTCTTCCTCTCTATGTCGCATTTCAAGCCCTCCTTCCATGTTATGCAATTATTGTGTGTAAACTGTAAGCAATATAAGAATTGGGTGAACAGGATACGTCCATCTAGGCACGTAATTTAATGTCAATTTTTTAATAGTTAAGGAAAAAAGAAATGAATTAAGAAAGAGGGATAAGGGAAAATGAACTAAAAATGGCATTTTGTACTAGTAACATTTGGTGCATAGGCAATGGAATCCATATCTTTTTCCGGACTACTTTACTTCTCAATTACACATAAATAGGATTTATAAAAACAAACGCTTCTTCCTTCCTTCCCCCACCATCAAGCCTACACCAAAAAATTCATTTCTTAACATCCCCACCCAAAAATCTTCCTCGTATAACAAATCAATACTACCATATTTTCCCTCTATGTCTAACTATTTGCCTTGAGTTTAGATGTTATATCGATGAGTAATGTATAAGTATAAAATAGCATCATTGTGTCGCTAATTGACAAATAAATCAAGCCATTAATGGTCAAATTTGAGCACCAATAAGCTAAATAGTGGGTTTCAGTTGCCAAATTGACCACGAATTATTGTATCTAACCATATGCACATTTGCATATCAATTCCCAAGTTACAACTATTGTGTCAATTGGTTTTAATTCAACTTTTGAAACTTTGTTTGGATAAGCTATTCGATAGTGGTGGTGGCCAATCAATGATTGCGATGGCAAAGGAAATGACTGGATTGCAAATTAGACGACTCTGAAGGCGAAGGAAGTATCCAAAGATAGCAATGATAGGATATTGAGATTAGGGGTGTTAAAAAAAAATCTAACCCGCTTGACTTGACCCAGCGACCCAATGACCCGCAAACTACCCGACGGGTAATTAGAGAATTTTTTTGAATTTTTAAGTCGGGTACCCACTAAAACAGTCGGGTCGGGTTGAGTGAGTCGGGTACCCCTTGACCCGCTACCCCCCTTTTTTCTAAAAAAAAAAATTCTAAGTTAAAGTAAGATGCTTTTTTATTTCCTTTCTAAACTCTAGCAGCCTCCATATTCCCTCTCTCTCCTCTGCATACTCCATATCCCATTTTACTCCTCCTTTAACGGATCTGCCGCCCTAAATACCTTATCCCCTCTCATTTCTCTCTTTCCACAGCCCCTATTCCCTCTACAACCTCCATTCAACATCCCCCAATTCCTTCTAATTCCTTCTAATCCCCCATCTCCTTCTCAGCATGCGTTAACTTCTTCACCTCATGCTTCTACTTATGGTTGTCCTCCTTCCGAAAGATTATGTATTATTGAATTAGAATAATGCATCAGGGAGTTCAGATTTTGTAAGTGTTGATTGTAGATCCTTCAACTCTTCAAGAGGGGGAGATTGCTAGTCATTTAGGAGAGAAACCCACTAAAAGATCCTCACTGCTACAGTGCTACACGTATATATATATATATATATCTAGTGTTGGTTTTTTATTTAAAATTGGTTATAATCAGGTACACGTAAACCAGGTACCCGAGTTTCGCGGGTCGGGTCATGGGCAAAGGCGGGTACCCGAAAAGCCGGGTACTCGGTAATGAAAAGCCTTAATTGAGATGGTCATGTAGATGGAAGAAGAAAATAACAAGGTGGTGAAGTGTGCGTAAATTAGTAGAAAATATATAGAGGGTACAAAACAAATATACAAGTCACCAAGTAGGGAGGGGAATTGATATAGAGTTGTCTCTTGGAACTCAAGTAACACAACGGTGGAAGGGGAATGAAAAAAGAGGGAACTAATAAAACACCGAGGAAAAAGGGAATTAATTGCCTTTTCTTTCTTGAAATCCCCAACAAACATCCCCTAAAAATTGGGATTCAACTTGCGGGGCTACGGCGAGCTAAACACATTTGTTTATGCTCTTGTTGGTTGTCTTCTCCAACAAATTTAAAATTTCTCTTCAATAACTATTCTAATCTTTTTCTTTTTCACTTTGGTCTCTTAATTGTTCACTTGCCAATTTCCCTTTCTTTATCCCTTTCTCTTTCCTTTCACCCATATCCTCTCTCACTAGGCAACATGGATTTTTCTTCTTTCTTTGTTGCTCTCACCTTCGTAATCTATTTCCATAATTCCTAGGATTTGATAAATGGCATATTAAATTTTGATCCAAGGTAATCTACCTAGGTTTTGTCATACATTTTATTTCATTAATTTTTAATCGAAACATTTTAAAATATATACTATTCAAACACACCTCTTTGATTGTCTTTTGTGATTTATATGTTGGAAAAGATATAGTCATGAGGAATCTTGTTAGATTCGTCTCGAAATATATTTTTTAAATATGAATATTTTTTAATTATTACTAAATTATAATTTAAGATATTAATGTTATAAAAAAAAGAATGGAGGAAGTATTATTTACAAGGAAACTTATGCCAACTTGAGCATGTTCGTTCAAGCTCCTTATCTTGCTCTATTTTCCATTTTAAAACCAAAGAGAGACAAGCCCGTATAAAATACTAGAAATGTTTATCTTTTTCAAAAACGTAAAAGAAGAAAATATTTAATAAATGTCATATCCCTATATATGTTTCCTAATTTGGGATGTATCTTAAAATTATATAATTATTGTATTGGACATGCAAATTAGTACCCATATCCAATACTTGTTCCTTTGTCTAGGTTATTGTGCAACCCTAATGATTCTAGCAGCCTAGCAACATAAAAAAGAATGGAAAGAGATATTCACACAAATAAATTAGGCAGCCTGATTTATAAATAGTGTAAATATTACGCCCTACTTCCTAGATTAATAACAACAATTTACGGATAAAGTTGTCCTATGTTACTTGTGATAGTTCTATAAAAAGGATTGATCCACAAATTTTACTTAGAACCAGTTTATTTACTAATCTCTTAACAAAACTCACACAAAAGATTTTTTCACTAACACCCTTCAAAAATAATAGCCCACTTTCAATAACAATAACAATAACAAATACCCTACTACTAGCTAAAAACAATAAAAAAAATTAAATTAAAAAATAAAAATTAAATTAAAAAGGAAAAAAAAAAAAGTTAATTGCTTTGAATATAATCATGCACTCGTCAAATCGGGTGCGATTAATCAAGGACAAAGGGAGTAATATCAAAGTGACAACATGACATTCAATTTCTGCATTTCTTGTCAAACTTTTTCATCCTTATCCCTTAATTCATGTTTTGAATTCATTTCTCTTCCTCTTTTGAGGGAAAGGTGAACAAGTACATTTTAAGCACATTTTGACATACCAAATCACCAAACCAGCAAATTAGGGAAAATTTAAGCCAGTATATTCACAGAGAAACTAAACAATTAATGATCAATATGATAAGACATTAAGCCATTAACAACAAACAAACTTACCCGTGTTTTTACAAGAGCATCAGCAAAGAAATCTTTCATGCTAGACACAAGGGGTTGTTGCCTACTTTGACCTGACATGACATACAGCACAAACCGAAAAAAAAAAGATCTCCATGAATGACATAATACTTATTAAAGAAAAAAGAAAGGAGAGAGGATAAGAAGAACTATGTATAATTTTTGAAAGTAAACATACTCATACATGTTAAACTCTGAGTTTCCATGTGATGCTCTGGGGTCCAAGTCGTATGTGAGGCAAGATCATGCGCAGAAGAACTAACTTCACCAGCTTGTGAGATATCTGAATGATATACCTGGTAATTCTCATTTGTGGCATATTGTAAAGGCATAACATCTTTTGAGAGACGTGATTCAAGAAAGGGAATATTATTTATGTTAGAAGTATTTATGATTTCATAATTTGTTTGGATATCATTTGACTGCCCATGTGAAGATCTTGATGGTGGAGCATCCTTCTTCAGTACTGCACACCTCTTCTTCCACTGCAAAACAATGAAATTATGGCATAAAAAAGTGCCAGTAGATGAAGGCTAGAAACTAGAAGTCAAGTGCATATAACATAAATTATACTCTAAGCACAAAACAAATCATGGAATTCATAAAAAAAATAAATAAATAAAGACATCTCTAGCTGGTGTTTAGTGGAGTAGAGGCCCTTAGAAATAGGAGCAAGCCGAGCAACATCAGTTTGTCTATTTTCTTACTTTCTCTATAGAGGTAAGAAAGGAAGCTCCAACTTATGGTAATTTACTAATATATGATAGGATCAGTCCTATATTTTAAGTGTGACAAGCCAACACCCCCTCCTTTCCTTTCTAGAATCAGAGACATTGCCACATTGTCGTATGCCACACCCAACCATGACTCTTTACATCTCACGGAAGGGGGGGAGGGGGGACTACCTATATATCTCTCTAGGGTTTGATTCATTTGGTCTCTTGATTTTGTTGATATAGCATATAACCATCATATCTCCAACCCATTCAGAATTTATATACTTAACGAAAGTTTTTATTTCACGATATAATACAGAATGCCTTGTAACAACATACATTATTATGAAGTGATTGCCACCATGGCTAGTTTTTAGCAACATAGAAAGATGATGAAGTTTGCAAGGAAAAAAAACGGAGCAAAAGCTATATAACCAAGCTACCAAGTCAACAATGGACTCTTCTATTTTATGAAGCCTTTTGATGTAAAACCACTCATGGAAACACTAGCCAATAACCCAAACATTTTTTTCTTGGTCAACAAATGAGATTTTCATCAAAATCTTCTTCGGGATTTCAAATACTTAGTTGCAATACATAACTGCATACTCTCAATAGATAGACCCTCCATCTCAAATTGATGTGAATTATTACTCTAGCATTATCCTATTCTGAAATGTCCCAGGACATATTTTACTTCTTAAATAAAAATAGATGTATCCTTAAATATAACTCTTAACAATAGGTTATTTCCCTTTGTTTCCGGTTGATTTTGCAAACTAAACAAGCTGAACACATGTTAAAGTTCAAAGTAAATAGGCATACAAAAGAACACCAAATCATTCAATCAAAAAATAAATATCAAAAAATGGAGTAACAGGCACCAAATAAATACAAGTATACATATAATTGTTAGTGAAATAATGAATTGCCAGTGAAATAATGAAGTTACGTTAGTTAACTACCTCAGCTAACTCATCTTCCGTAATTCTGAAAGAATCCACTTTGTTCATGCCACCACCATACTTCCATAGAAAATGCTTCAAATTCTTCAGATGATCCTCACTCGCCAAATGCTCAATTAAATTACCACTAATTACATAAAAATAAAAAATAAAAAAAAAACAACCAAATTTTGTGAAATAACAAAAATACAAAATATAACACTTACTCCGATCATACTTCCAACCAAAAAAAATCACAATAATTCAAAAAAAAAAAAAACACACAAAATTTCAAATTTACCAAACAAATGCAGAATCAGATTCAACAATGTCGGAATCACAAAAGATGCACCAAAGATGATCAGGAGAATCCGAAGAAGAGAGTACGAAGCTAGGGTTTCTGAGTGAAGATTTGACGATTGAGAGCTTCTGGTGGAAGCGAGTGAAGAGTGAGGAGAGAGAATTGGTGTGGCGTGGGAAGAAATTATGGCGACGACCTTGATTGTGGTTGATTCTGCATAATTTGCAGAACTCGTATTCTGATGGTTTATCGTCGACTTTCTTCTTCATCTTCTTCTCGTCTCTGTCTCTTTTCATCTTTTTGATTAAATGCTTTTTGAGTTATGTTTTCCTTTGATTTGCCGGGTTCAACTGGGCAACCCTTCACCTATCAACTAATCTCTGATCAAATAACTTCTGTCACATATCACAACCCATCACCGAGTCAACCCTGATCTAAAAGCCTTTTTACTTTATGAGACGAATTTAACTAATAATTATCCCACATGACTATATTTTGCTTAACGTATAAATTATATTACATGGTCAAACAAGAGTGATGAATAATGCAAAAGTCCAATTGTTGCAATATTATTGGAACGAAAGAAGTATATTTGTTCTTTTATTAAAGGTGGGGAAAAACAACGATTTTGTTTCTTGTATAAAAATAAGCCGTGAGTAGAAAAATTCATGAGCCAAATTTTATACTCCATATTTACACAGGGCCTTCAAAAAGGTTGGGACGGTCCTGATAAAGAGATAGTCTCACATTGACAAAATACCAAATCTTTGCATTGTTTATTTTTGAATAGTTTAATACAGTGGTAAGTGGGTTGTGGACCTATTATCATTTTGGTACCCCATTTTCTCTTTGACGATTCATTGTTATTGGAATATTGTATTTGTTACAATATTCAAGGTTTATCCGCTTGAGTTAATTTGTTTAGAATGCCATTAATTCGAAAGTTACGCTCATCAATTGCCGGTTGTTATGGCCTCTTAATCATCCCGTTAAAAGGGAAGTTATTCCTCTTAATTGTTAGTCGTTTTCCCCTTGATGTTGCTACAGTTTCCTTCCATCTATTCCTATATAAATTTTGCATTCCCATCTTTAAATAGATACAACAAATTAAGCAATCTCTTTTCCTTTCTCTTAAAAATATTCCTTCGAATTTTTGAGCAAGTATTCTGGGTTCCAGTTGGGTCTATGAGTGCACCTGTTTGATGTCTATTGCACCGGGGTAGCGCGAAATCGTCATTTAGGTTAGTGGTTCATCACGACACGGCAATTGTCAATTTGGTCTACACAACCTTAAGATAAGTATTTATTTGCTTATTTACCAATAATTTAAAAGACAATTGATTGATTCCAACTTTCCAAGTATTTGATTCTTGATATGTTGAATTTAGAATGCTTTTTTTATTTGGAGCAATTCACGTTGTGTATAAGAATAATATGATAGGTCGTGTTGTATGTATGCTTGAATGAATAACGGTTTTTCTCTCATTATATATGTTGAAACAAAGTATGTTTTAGTGTGAATTTTGTGAAAATAACAAAGTCCCACATTGGTGGTAAATGGGAGTTTTTCCTTCTTTATAATGTAGCATGTGGTATACTTGGGTGTGGCCCAAGGACTACCCACATTTTGTGGAGAGGGAAGACTTACCTACCGAGCCGAACCGAACCGAGCCAGGTCGGGTCGGGTCGGGTTTATTATACAAACTTAATTTTTTATACAGTTTTTGAACAAGGCTTCATTACGTAATTAGTGCCTTGATTTTTGCTAACCGTTTTGACTGATTCTTTATTGTTTTAAATCCCGTTATTCATGGTGGATTACAGTTTTGTTCCAGATTTTATGCTAATTAAAATTTGACTGTTTTGAAGCCGTTTTGCTCTTGAATTCTGCCGTTTACTTAGTTAATTTTGCTTGACCGTTTTCTAATTTAATGATGTGTTATTTTTGCTTGAAACGTTCAAATCAGCTGGCCTATATATACGACATTCTTCAGTGTTTCAAAACACACAAAAAAAAAAACTCATTTTTCCTAATCTTCTCTTCTTCCCCCTTAAATACAGAATTTCAGCAATTTTCAGTTTTTGGTGTTTTGTTAGCCCGGTGGTTCAGTGCAAATTCATCGGTACTTTATAGTTTTGAGAGACTGTTTTATCTTGGGGGACATCCGATTACCTACGAGCTGCTTGCACACATTTTTTGCAGTACCGTGAATGTTCTAAAGAGAGCGACATAGTCCGCGACTCAGTCTTATCCCCGGTAACATTGTTCTTATTATTTTTGTTCCTGCGAGTTTCATTTATAACAATATATACCTTGCTCACGGTGGTGTCGTTTTATTAATTGATGGCCTGTGTAAAAGTTATGGTGGAGAATTGCCTTCAAGCTTTTTGTTAGTTACTTAACAATGTCTTGTAAGAAAAGAAAAAAAAAAAAATGTTTTATTTTCTTTTATACTTACATTGCTATTGTTTTGTGGACATTGGGGTTACCATTTTGATATTCTTTAGTCACTTAATAAGGATATTGTAACCTCTAATGTGGATTGTTTTTGTTTTTGGTGATCATGTACTCATGCTTTTCACAGACTTTGATTTTTCCTTTTTCTTTGCACGTGGTGAATGTCTAGTATGTGTATGCTGATGAAGATGATATCTGCTTAACCATCATCTAAATTATAGCCCTGATTGTTGTGACTTTTTTATTTTTTGAGAAAAAGCAAGAAGTGCCTCATATTGATAAATTGGTTGTTGTGACTTAATAAATGTTGTAGGGTTTTTTTTTTTTTTTTTTCTGGAGAGTTAACTTGAATAGTTGAATCATGGGGAGCACAATAATAACATATTATTGATAACTGGTTTTCTTGAATGGTTGAGTAACTGCTTTCTGTTATGTATAAGATTATATTTCGTATTTGGCAATGATTTGAAAAGACACATTTGATTTTATTATTACTAACACACATTGTTTATTTTTCTTCTACATATCAGATTTACCTAAAGTTTGTAATGCTTTCTGTTATGTTGTGTTGGTAATGACATTATTAATTCAAGTTTCGAGTTTTGGCATGCACCTTATGATTTGCTAATGATATAACTCTTGTTAATATTATTTTCAATGGATATGAAATTACTATTGAACATAACATTATTTAGTGTAACAGAACAGTCCTCGTTTTTTCTAGGAGTAGTTTCAAAAATGACCCCCGGTCAAAGGTCATTCAATGGGTGGTTTTGGCTAAAACTTTGGGAACATGTTCAAGACACATGAGACTTCATTTTGAGCAGTTGGATTGTAGATATCTGCTCAAATAAGTGAGTTATGATGTCATCTTTAAACTTAAGTTTATGATGAAAATGGTGGGGCTTATCAATAGAAGACTCATTTACATTGCTTGATTTATTTCAAGGGAAGTTTATTCTAAACAAGCCTTATGTTATTATGATTATCATTTGTTTTAATTCCTAGTAATCCTTTTAAAAAATATATGTTTTTACTCTTTGAGAAAGAAACATTGGATGTTGAATTTGTCGATTAAATATTTGTTGAAATGATTGTTAGAAAGTAAGATTTATTAAATCCATATTTTATAAGAATGACTTTGCATATTTGGTTACCCCTATTTTTTTTTTAATTTTTTTAGGCACTAAAGGCACCAGTTTAAAGGCCAAACCGGTGCCCTTAACTAATGTAAAGGGCACCGATTTGGCTTTTTAACTGGCGCCCTTAGAGGACATTCAACATTTAACCAGTTTTTCCATTAAGGGACAACTAGTTATCCCCGACAACAGTAAGGACTTAGAGGCTTTTAGTCATGTATTTGATATACCTACACAAAAGCACAAACTAAGTCTAATCAAACTAAAGACTATTTGCACTGATGAAGGTAGGACTCATGATCAGAGGATCAAGGCCATCCTCCTCATGATCATGAATTGCATAATCATTCTAGTTGGATCTGAACAACGTTGTTGGACATCTTACGTCCAATTTATCGAAAAATTGGACGTGGTCGACTCCTATGCCTTGGAGCGGCAATGTTGTCATACCTATATCAAGGTATGAAAGAGAGTAAGAAAGGGAAGTTAATTGATGGCTTCGTACGGCTGATAATGGTAAGCTATTTTTTTTTCTCATCTCTGTTTTTCTTTTCCTTATCTCTCTTTTGATAAGATTTTAACTAACTTTTTTTTCATAGGGTTTTTTCTATTATCACTTCAACATGCATAAGATCTTTGAAATTGAAGTTGAGCAAGTGCAGATGCCTCAAATGCCAATATTGGCATCTTCATTGTTTGTAACATGTGAGTAGCCTTCTTGCAGTGGTGATTTACACTAATTCGAGAAAAAAGCTTTCACTAAAGACGCCAACATTGGCGTTTGAGGCATGCATCTACACTTGATCAACTTCAATTTCAAAGATTTTACGCAAGTTGAAATGATAATAGAAAAGCCCTATGAAAAAAAAAGTTAGTTAATCTTATCTAAAGAGAGATAAGGAAAAGAAAAACAGAGATGAGAAAAAAATTGTTGCTCCCATATAAGCCATACGAAGCCATCAATTAAATTCCCTTTGTTACTCTCTTTCATACCTTGATATATATAGGTATGACAACATTGTTGCTCCCAGGCATAGGAGTCGACCACATCCAATTTTCAATAAATTGGACGTAAGATGTCCAACAATGTTGTTCAAGTCCATCTGGAATGATTACGCAGTTCACGATCATGAGGAGGATGGTCTTGATCCTCTGACCATGTACCCTACCTTCATTAGTGCAAATAGTCTTTAATTCGACTAGACTTAGTTTATGATTTTGTGTAGGTATATAAAATTCCTGACAAAAAGCCTCTAAGTCCTTACTGTTTTCGAGGATAACTAGTTGCCCCTTAATGGAAAAACCGGTCAAATACCAAACATCCTTGGCACCGGTTCAAAGTCCAAACTGGTGCCCTTAATTGATGTAAAGGGCACTTGGCCTTTGAACTAGTGCCCTTAGTGCCTAAAATAATATAAAATTAAAAAAAAAATAGGGGTAACCAAATATGCAAAGTCATACTTATAAAATATGGATTTAATAAGTCTTTCTTTCTAACAATCATTTCAACAAATATTTAATCGACAAATTCAACGTCCAACATTTCATTGTCAAAGAGCAAAACCATACATTTGTTAAAAGGATTACTAAGAATTAAACCAAATGATAATCATAATAACATAAGGCTTGGTTTAGAATGAACCTCCCTTGAAATAAATCAATCGGCGTAAACGAGTCTTCTATTGAACCTTCCTTGAAATAAATCAAGCGACGTAAATCAAACAACTACCAATCTCCCCCCACTGTCTCAACACCTTATCATAATGTTTTTTTTTAAAGTTTATGGGATGCAGGCCCTAATTATCCTTGAAAACAATCAGTGTCAGATTGTTAGATAAGGATGACAATGGGTCGGATCTAGACCGA